ACTATGAAACAAAAGAAAACCACGCAATTCAAATTCATGTCAGTGATGTTGGTCCTCCGTCACTGACAACAATTGTTATGGTGAACGTTCTGGTGACTGGAATTAATGAGTACACGCCAACGTTCACACCTGGTGGTGCCCAGTTCATATCTATCCCGGAAGACACAAGTTTAAACACGGTGGTATTTGATGCAGATGCTGCTGATAGTGATAATGGTGAAAGCTTGGTTTATTCACTAACCGGAAGTACCAAGTTTGATATAAACCCAACAAATGGTGAGATATATTTAGTATCCAGTATCATCCCTACTGATGTGTTTACATTGACAATCACTGCAACAGATGATGGAGCAGTTCCAGGCACTGACTCGAGCACACAGTCATTGACCATAACGGTGGATGAGGTGAACAATAATCCACCCTCGTTCGACAGCTTGAATTATTTTGGATCTGTATTTGAAAATGATGATGGTACTTCGCCTGTAGTAACGATGGCAGTGACAGACGTAGATGGTGACAACGTAGGATTGAGTATCATATCAGGAAACACAGGTTCGGTGTTCTCTGTTGACCAGAGTGGGAATATTTATGTAATAGACAGTACAAACCTAGATGCAGAGACTTCAGCAATTTACACATTGACAATTAGAGCTACGGATGATGGTACACCAAGTCGTGCAAGTGATACAACTGTGAATATTCTCGTGAAGGGAGTCAATGAACATGCTCCTGTATTTCCACTGCCTTCATACTCAGAAAGTGTTTATGAGACTGATCTTGCAGGGACACTAGTATTACAAGTCATTGCAAGTGACAGTGATGGCGGCGTTGACGGTGACATCACATATTCCATTGTTTCTGGTGATGAGGGTAAATTTGGTATTGATGCAAGCTCAGGTGAAATTGTCGTTTTAGGTGCACTCGATTGTGAAATAAAAGCTACTTACAATCTGGTTGTTAATGCTGTTGATAACGGCGCTACATCTTTAACAGGTGCAACTACAGTTACTATTACAGTAATTTGTGTGAATGACGAGGGACCCTCATGCAATCCTGACTTCTATTCTTGGACAATTTCGGAAAACACAGTGGTGTCAACTACTGTCGGCAGTATTGTATGTAATGATGATGGAGGCAGTTTCATGTACACAATTGTTAATGGCAATTCTCCTCCAACATTTGCAATACCAGTAGACAATGTACCAGAAATCGTATTAAAGTATGAAGTAGATTTCGAAACAGTTGAAAGCTTCCAACTTATAGTGAAAGTTATTGATGACGCTACTCCACCAGGTTCATCAACAGTGACTGTTGTTGTGGATATTACAGGTAAATTGGAATTGCTGTACAATAAACAAATAGATGTTGAACTTTATTTTATCATGTCAGTAAATCAGGGTTAGGTTTTTAATTACTTTAATTTCATTGTTTTCTCAGGGGAGAATGAGTACACACCACGATTTTTGACCAATCCTATCGTGGCAACTCTGTCTGAAGATCTTTCGATAGGAGCTACAGCTGTACAACTTAATGCAACAGATTATGATTCAGGAAATGATGGTTAGTCTGCGTATCACATTCCATGAATATATATTTTACAGATATTTATTCCAGTTAATTTGGAATTTGTGATTTTTTTATAATTACAATTATAGACAGTACGAGATTTGCCGATTCAGTGCATTTTTCTTTATTTAATTTACATGACACTACACTTTATTCATAGGTGACATCACATACAGTATTATTGATGGAAATGAAGAAGGAAAATTTGACATTGTAAGTGATACCGGTGTTATATACCTCTTGCGGAAATTAGACTGGGAGATGACAGAAACATATCAATTACTTGTAGAGGCAGTTGATGGAGGAATGACAGAAAAAACAGGAACTGGTACAATTAATGTAGTTGTGCTTGACACAAATGATAATGTGCCATACTGTGATCCAATCGGTTACAATGTGGTGGTACCAGAAGATACTTCTATTGATTCATATGTAATAACTCCAAATTGTATGGACGATGACTTCGGAAGTGATTTTGTTTATACGATTACCAGTGGTAATGGGGATAACTATTTCCGAATTGACGAAAACAGTGGTAGCATCTATGTAAATCGCATGTTGGATGCTGAAACAAAAACCGTCCACGTCCTAACGATGAAAATATCAGATGGAGTAAATGAAGGGTCGGCAGTCATCACAGTGGCTGTTCAGGGAGTGAACGAATACCCACCAGTATATGAACCATACTCTGTTTACCATTGTAATGTACTTGAGAATTCCGCTGCTGGAACATTAGTGATTACTGTCACTGCAGTAGATCGAGATGTAATGGATGATGGAAAAGTATACTATGAAATTACAGATGGAAATATTGATGGCGTTTTCGAAATCAATGACACTGAAGGGTCAATATTAGTTAAGAGGACACTAGATCGGGAAACAATAGACAAGTACACCCTTGAAATAACAGCTACAGACCTTGCTATTCCGGGCATGGAATTACAAGCACTTGCTTCAGTTGTTATCACAGTTGATGATGCCAATGATCAGCCACCCACTTTCCAACCAGTGTTTTATGCAGGAACAATTCTAGAAGATGCCATAATTGGTGCATTGGTGACTACAATGACTGTTGTGGACAATGATCTTGGCTCACCAAATACTGACTTCACAATAAGCATTGTGTCTGGAGATGATTCAAACCAATTTAGCATAAGTGGAGATGAACTTGTTGTGAATGGTGTCTTAGATTATGAAACAACGAAATCGTATTATCTTACTATTGAAGTTGCAGATCTTGGAATACCAGTACTTTCATCAACTGGGTACATTGCTGTGACAGTGTTGCCTGTGAATGAAGCAGTCCCCGAATTTCAGTTTAATACAGGTACTTTCTATGAGAAAGACATTGACGAAAATGTTGCAGGACATACAAGTGTAATTACTGTTAATGCTTTGGAACCAGATCCAAAGGATGATCCTGATCATGTGCATAGTCAGATACGCTACTATATCACTGGTGGAAATGAAGATGGAAAGTTTTCTATTGATACAAGGTCAGGAGTTATATATACTGCGGGAATTATTGACAGAGAGGAAACAGACTTTTATACTTTAGAAGTGACTGCAATAGATAGTATTCCAGAATTTGGTGATGAGCTCCATGACACAGCTCTAGTAAAAATCACTGTCAATGATGTCAATGACAATGCACCAGCATTTGAACCAACGCTGTATTCTATTGAAGTATATGAAACTGCTGCAATCGATTCCACTTTAATGACTCTGTTTGCTACAGATAACGACTTGGGTACGAACCAGAATATAGATTACGATATTCTCTTTGGCAATACAGGCGGCGACTTTGACTTTATTGATAATGAGTTGCGTACAAAGAATGCACTTGCATGGCACAGAACGGCTTTTTATCGATTGGTTATTCGAGCTGTCGATGGTGGAGATCCATCCTTGTCTGGCTATGCTCGAATTACAGTTGAAGTGAAGTCAGTAAATAATCATGCTCCTAAGTTTACGGCCGATACGGATACTATTTCCCTCCCGGAAAATACATTAGTTGGGGCCCCTATCTACACAGCTGCAGCAAGCGATGATGATTACGGCTTCCATGGCGAAATTGAATATTATATAACTGATGGCACCCAGGGTGATGACGGGACATTCCATATCAATAGCCAGACAGGGTTGGTTACACTTGGGTCTAATCTAGACCGAGAGTATCGAGACCTGTATATTTTGAACATCACAGCATTTGACAAGGCTAACAATGAAACTATGGTTAAGAGGGACTCATTTATCCTCAATATCGAAGTAACAGATATAAATGACAATGATCCAATTTGTGATGTACCTATAGATATAATCTTCATTGAGGAAAACCAAGGTCCTGATGTGCTTATCACAACTGTTCATGCAACAGACCCGGATATTAATGAAAATGCTGAATTATCTTATACTGTTATATCTGGTGTTAATGAGTACGACTTTGTTCTTGATGAGGTAACACACGGTATTCGTGCAATAGAGAGCTTAGACAGAGAGCGTCATGATATATACAGTATAAATATTAAAGTATCAGACAATGGTTTTCCACAACGTACAGCTTTATGTGCAATTGAGATACATGTGATTGACAAGAATGATAATGATCCTCTTATTACACCAAGCGACGTTCAACTCTCCGTCTATGAGAACAGTCCTAAACATACAAGCCTCTTCACGTTTGTTGCGACAGATCCAGATGAAGATCTAAATGGAGAAACATTCTTTACTATCATAGGCGGAGACGATAATGGACATTTTGGTATTGGAGAATATAGTGGCAGACTAGAAACTATAGCTGTACTTGACAGAGAAGAAATATCCTCGTAAGCATATCAAATAATACTTTCAGTTGGGAATTAATTAATTAATTGGATCTATTTTATTATGTATTTTAAGTTCATTCAATTGTCCTTGTATGTACTATGTATTTAAATTATGTTTTCACAGGTATGTTCTTCTGATTAGAGTATCGGATAAAGGTGACCCAGCAAGGACAGGTGATGCAGTGGTAAATGTCACAGTCATTGACGAAAATGATAACGGCCCAATTTGCACTGATGCAAATAATTACTTGACGAATGTACGAGAAGACATGGAAGCAGGAATGCCAGCCATGGTCATAAGAAGCAGCGACCCGGATGATTATGTTCTAAGAAACACTGAAAGGACATACCGAATAATGAGTGGAAATGATGGTTTGTCGAATTTTAATATTCGTAAATATTTACCATAAAATACTTATTCATTGCAATCATGTCAATTCACTAATTGTATTTTCACAATAGTTTGTTCATGTATTACATCCTATTTATAATATCTACTAGGTACATGGGCGATCGATGCAGAAAAAGGCAGTATTTATCTTCTGGGAGAACTGAACAGACAACAAACAATTGCCTACTCATTTGTTATCCGCATTGAAGATGACAAGAACCCAAATATGTATGACGAGTGTACAGCCAGTATCACGGTTTTAGAAGCAGCAGAAGGAGTTCCATTGGTTGATGCTGACGTGGAACTAACAGTTCAAGAAAACGCTGCAATTGGTACAGTGGTTGGAACGCTTAACTGTTTTACTATTTGTGGTGGAGATATTATGTATGATATAATTGGCGGTTCATATATGGAGGATTTTTATTTGAGTATAGACACAGGTATTTTGTTAGTAGCGGGAGAAATAGACTATGAAGAAATACAACAGTATG